GAGAGAGTCATGATGGGAAACTTTCAACTCAACTGCAACTCTTATGGGGTGCCTTTCGTGGTAGCTACTACCGATTGCAAGCTCTCTTCTCTCAGTATTTAGAAGGGATCAACGTCAAAACAAGGAGAGAGTTTGTGGTGGATTATACAGAAAATAATGGTGATAGCAGTGGTTATCATCCTCTGGTTTTGCAGGTAACCAAATTTTCATGTGGAGGGTTCACGATTGGAATGGGACTGTCACACTCTGTCTGTGATGGGTTTGGTGCTTCTCAGTTTTTCAGAGGCTTAGCCGAGTTAGCAAGTGGAAAGACTGAGCCAAGTGTGAAGCCTGTATGGGAGAGACACAGGTTATTAGCCGTAAAACCTAATCTCGAGTTTCCTTTCAACATGGCTTCTCTTGCAACTTCACCATATCTGCCAGCCACTGAGCTTGTCAACGAGTGCTTCAATGTCAACTTTGACACCATAACAAGACTCAGACTGAGGTTGATGAAGGAAAGTAGTACTGAATATAATAACCATGGAAAGAGTACTAATTTCACTACTGTTGAGGTTCTTGGTGCCTATGTTTGGAGATCAAGACTCAGAGCTCTAAACCTGAACCCAGATGGGAAAACTGTGTTTGGTCTAATAGTTGGGATCAGACCCATTTTAAACCCACCTTTGCCTGAAGGGTACTACGGAAACGCCATTGCAGCAGCAAACGTGATCTTAACAGGGAGAGAGCTTGAAGGATTACCGCTATTCAAAGTTTCTCAGCTCATCAAAGAAAGCAAAATCCTCTGCAACAACAATGACTACGTAAAGAATTCGATTAACAATTTGGGGCAGTTGTGGGAGGTGATCTACAAGAATATTGAAGGAGGAACTGGTGCAATCATGATGTTGACGGATTGGAGACAACTGGGTTTGATGGAAGAAGTTGATTTTGGATGGGGAGGGTTGGTGAACATGATAACATTACCATGGAACCTGTTTGGGTGCAGTGATTTCTGTATGTTCATGCCTCCTTGCAAAATGGATCCTTCAATGAAAGACGGGATTAGGGTTTTTACTTGCCTCCCAACAGCTGCCATTGTTAAGTTCAAGCAAGAGATGGAGGCTCTCAAAAATGGTGCTGATGCTTAATTAGTTACGTACTGATCATCTTCTTTTATTGCTTTGAAGATGATGACGTAAATATTACAGTGAAATATCGTGATCATCTTTTAAAAAATTATAGACAGATCTTAAAGAGAGAGAGAGAGAGAGAGAGAGAGTTTGGAAATATACAAGATTATTAATGTATACAGATTGTTAAATACTTAGTTGATCATATGTAAAGATGTACAGATTGTTAAAGTACTTGCTAATAATTGAACTATTCATCAATTATACAAGATTATATGGACTATAAGTTGATGCTATTAAAGAAATTGCAAGTTACAAATACGAGAGTTTGGAAATTTTGATTGATTCTCTGTAGCATTTCCTTTTTATTTTTATTTATAGAGTATGTTTTTACAAGTTTATTAATTTAATTAATTAATTAAAAATATTATTTTTAAAATATTTAAATATATAATATTCAGTTTCAAACTTTTTTTAAGGAGGTAGAAGAAAAGTGAATATTTCAAACAAATGAAAAATATCAAGAATCAAATTGGAATAAAAAAATATTAGGAACCAAATTTTAGTAAGTGTTAAATTCACTGAATTAATACTTTACCCTATTTTCTAATAATTTTTTTACAAAAACAAGAAAAGAGTTAACTTTTGTATTAATTCTTTATGTAACATAAATTAATACTTCCTCTGATGCAACTGAAGGTGGAAACAAGAGTCAAGCAAGAAGACTAACTTTCAAAAAGGATAATGTAAGCTCCTTCTCCTTCCTTCCTACTCTCTCCACAAACCTATCATGGTACTTTTAGGGATTGTTCAGAATTTGTTATTCTAACACTGCATTTCAGTCTTATGTCAATAGAGACAAGACCAACTTTTGTCGCTAGACAATAACAGAAGGTATGTTCAACACAGAAGTTTAAACATTATTTATTTATTTATCGGAGAGTATCCATACTTCTGCGCTTTCCAACTACTTGGGGAAACAATGGCACGATGATATAAAAAATTCATGAAGAAATTATGCTCCATATCACAGAAGAGAAATGGGCTTGTTATCCCTTATTTGATTTCTGTTTTGAGGATTGCCTTTCTTATCACTTGTTCATGCATTCTGGGTTTCAAACAATATAAAAAATTTATGGAGAAATTATGTTCTATATCACATCAGAAAATAGGTTTGTTATTCCTTATTTGATTACTGTTTTGTGGTTTGCCTTTCTTATCACTTGTTCATGCATTCTGGGTTTCAGGCAGTATAAAAAATTCATGAAAAAATTATGCACTATATCCCATCAGAAAATGGGTTTGTTATTCCTTATTCTATTACTGTCTTGTGGTTTGCCTTTCTTATCACTTGTTCATGCATTCTGGGTTTCATGCAATTTGTTGTCAAACAGTTGGAGGACATCATGAAAATATTGCTTTTATAAGTTTATCCTATTTCACATATAATTATAAAAATAAATGGTTGATAATATACAACCTTGGCTATAATAAGAGAACTGAATGGAACAGAATTGCTTCTACTTTTCAGTGATGAACATGGAGGTACTTAGAAATATTTCTTATATTCAGCCTCTCTAATATGCTGTGCATGATGTATTATGATTTTTCATCTTTAAATTTATTTGTGCATGGAATAGATTATCAATGTAACATCTTTACAAATTCAGAACAATCAGCATCATGAAGAAAAAACTGACTCTGTTTACCTATCTTACACTCTTTCCCCCTTATTGGACCACAAAGTTCTAATATCATTAGCTAAGATTACTTTTTCTTTTGAGTAGGATGAAATTTTTTTCTATAAGCCCGAGTACTCCAAGCAGAAATCGGAACAGATGTGCAGCTGATTGCAAACTTCTTTTGGTATTTCATACCCTTTGTTGACTGCAAATTCATTGGCTATTATTTCTTTGCTCAGGTATTGGCAGAACATGCTCGTTTTGAGCAAATATGGCTGATCAGAAAGGGAAACAAAGATAATATGAATGATAAGATCTCTTAATGAAATGTATCATTTTGATGATGTTGTTCGTGTGGATGTTGAGGAAAGGTCAAAAGAAACTCAAGTACAAAGAGTAAGCTTTATCAACCCCTCAACATGAAATTCATTTGGTTGAGATTGCTGGACAAATGTGTAAAGTATATAGCCAAAGTTGGAAAAAGTTAGTTTAGTTTCACTTATGTTAATAGAGAATTATATCTTTAGAGGATCAAAGAATCTTACTTTACCTGCCTCTCCTGAGAGAGTCTATACCAAATGCAGTTGAAGATATTGAATTTGATATTCATGCTCTTCTTGACAAGGTTATGCATTTTAGATGATAAGTTAAATAAACACACCATTTATACAAATTTTTTATTAAAAATCCCTATTAATATCGTAAATGATGTTTGATAAATTACTTTGATATGTTATATATATTAATTACTGATAATTATATATATGATTATTACTCTGTGAATGAAGAGATGAACATAGATAATGGTGATGCTTCATATCCATTTCCTCTGCAAGTATCAGTTGCTTTTTGCATCTTTTGATGATTACTAACATACAGAAGATATTGATTGATATCTTGGTTTATGATACAAGTTGAGGATGAAGATTTTTACGATGGGTCTGATGGTTCAAGTATTTAAATGATAACCTAAGTGATTAAACAAAAAATTTACGCATTAAAAAATGTTCAATCACTAAGGATACTAATATTCAATCACTTAGGATACTATTCGAATCCTCACTATCGTATCGAGTCATCAGGCCCATCGAAGAAATCCTCATGATCAACTTGTATTCTGAACCAAAATATCAGTTAACATTTTGTGTATGTTAGTAATTATCAAAAGATGCAGAAATCAACTTATACTTAAAAGATGAAATGGATGTGCAGCATCATCATTATCTATATTCATCTCCTCTTTCACAATATAATAGTCATATACATAATCATCAGCAATTAACATATATAACATATTAGAGTAATTTATCAAACATCATTTACAGTATTGATAAAGATTCTTAATAAGAAAATTTGTATAAATAGTATATTTATTCAGTTTATCATCTAAAATATACAATCGTGTCCAAAAATATGAGCATAAATATCATATTCATTCTCTTCAACTACATTTGATATAAATTCTTTCAGAAGAGGCAGGTAAGGCAAGATTCTTTGATCATCTTTAAGATATAATTCTATATTAACATAAGTGAAACTAAATCAACTTTACACAACTTTGTCCATACACTTTACACCTTCTCCAGCAATCTCAACCAAATGATTTTTACGTTGATGAGTTGATTAAGTTTACTCTTGTGCTTGAGTTTGTTTTGACCTTTCCTCAACATCGACACGAACAACATTATAAAAACGATATATTTCATCAAGAACTTTATCATGCATTTAATATGTGAATGACATTTTAAATTTTAATGATTTTTAATGTAGTAAATTTTTTTTAAAAAAAAACAATAATAATAAACAAGCTTATATTTTCTCTCTTTCTTCAACAAACTCTCCTTCCTCTTTCCTTTTTTTCTATTTAATAGTAATAATAATAATAAATTAATTTTAGAAGATGAAGGCGAGAAAGGCAAGACTCTTGGAAGAGTCTCTCCTCAGACTTTTCCTGGTCTCATATCAGACAGCTCTATCGCCGGAAAATCTGTAATCTTCTAGATAACGAATCCATGATGAAGAACCTTGAGAGACACACCACCTTTCCCTCCGCCGCGAAACTGTTTTCCTACTTTGCATTTTTACTAGCAGAAACCAAAAGTTTTCATCTTCTTTTATTCTTTGAAGAAAGTTTTTACTGTCTAAATTATTAATCTTTACTTCATCGTATTTAATCGGAGATAGGATGAAGAATAATAAAAGAACCTCAAATTCTTCAAAGCACAGTCCACGACGAAGCCATGGCTCGAGGAAGCGCTGTAATTTTTCTGGCAACAGAGTTGCTGTCGACCCACTTGGAAGAGTCTAAGGAGAGACTCTTTAAAGAATCTCAGTCTGCCTCGCATGCATCTTCTTCAACGAAGAAGAAAAAGATTTATCAACAAATCTACCAACTGTGTTATAATTGTATTTAAAGGACAGAGAATATAATGCATATATTTTTTTTAAATATAGAGGAATTAAAAAATAAAAAAATTAGATTAATTTGGACATATGTACTAATTTAGTATTTAGACCCATAAAAATTACTCAAAAAATTTAGAATTAAAACTTTAAGAAGATAGTAATTACCATAAATATTCTTATCCTTCTTAATATTTGTTATTATTATATGCCTTACTTAAACAAAATACACTAATTTTGCTTATTAAAATTTATAATGTTAAGTTTTGTTTTTTTTTTATAATTTTGAAATTTATTGAGAAATTTTGTACATTTTTGTTAAATTTTGCGTTTATCTAAAAATATTAAGAATTAAAATAATTTTCAAAATTTAAGAACAAAATTAATTGTAATGAAATTAGATTTTTGAAAATTAACTATAATATGCGGAATAATTCAGGAATCAAAATAAAAATTTATTTTTGATTAAATAAATTATATACTTCTAAATAAATCTAATAAGAAAATTTCTATTTGTTCAGAAAGGTCACTTTAAACTTTAACTTTTGCTAATTTGTGTAAATAATATCTTATTAGTGGTATGACATTATTCGGGTTATAACGGGTCAATTTTTCTATACCCGGCCGATCCATATCTTAACGGGTCCTTCCGTAGTTGCAATCCTTAAATTTTCCATGCAAAAAATGGTTTTTGATATCCATGGCAATAGGAATGGAAGCTCAGAATATTCCAAATGCAGCACTTTCCTTGATAAATCAAGATCAAATCCGCCAGGCGATAATTAGGTTCGATCAAATCCACCAATCTGGGCTGAAAGTCACATTGAATCATATCTCCCTTCAGCATTTATTAGAGTCTCGACTGAGCTGCTGCCACTAAAGACGCAGGGCAAGCTCGTTTCATGTTCTTGAAACATGGGGTTTAATTGAGGGAGTGCGTTGATGAAATCTCTTCATGATTTCTATTGGAAACGAATTCGCTTACGGGGAGCTCGCAAGGTGTTCGATGAAATGCGTCACAGAAACTTCCTTTCTGGATAGTGTCGGTTTAGACGTTAGTTAGCTTTGGAGATAATCAAAATGTTCATCAGTGTGTCTCTACGCGATATAGGATGGTGGAATTCGTTAGTTTCTATTGTGGGAAAAAGAAAAGAAATAAAGAAAGAAAAAAACCATATGCCATGTGACAGTAACAAGAAAGGAAAAGAATGAAATGCCTAGGCTAAATGTTTGGTCAGTTTTGATCAGAGTAAAGCCAAAGCTAGAGAGAAGAAATTCTTTCCTGCAAGAAACCATCGCTCTCAAAAGGTAATTATTTCTCTGAATATACGATGGCTTTTTGATACATGCAGAACTTTTAGTGGATACCTAGTGGGGGGTACTGCAATATTTCACAGTCTCTCCTTTATCTTCAACCACCAAAAATGGTCTCCTTTGCTTTTAATATTGCTGTCCTCCATGAGAAAAAAAAAAAAAAAAAAAAAAACCGAAAAATAGTTTCTACCTTCACCTACTAAATTGAAATTGAAAAACCACCAACCTTTGGTTAGAAATTTAACAATTTGGCTTCCAACCCATCATAAGATTACTGTTTTTTAAGCATATAGAGAATTAGTCATTTTCTTTTGCAGTTTCCATTCACTGAATGGTACTACTAATTGAAAGTCAATTTCTGACACAGTTCACCAGTGGCTTTTGTATTCTGATCAAGTGAGGTTGCTTCCAGTTCACCCCTCTAAATATCTGAAAGTGGGGAGTTTGCTCTCATCTCAATTTTCATGATTTCCAAGCCATTAACTCTTTCAAGTCTTATCTAATAATTCTTTAAATCTTGCACGTATATAGTGGCTGGGACACGGAGATATGATGTTGATCATATCACAATTTTATATTGGGTGGATAAGGCTGTAGGGATTATATATATGTACTGATATCTAGCCCCATTTTAGACTCTGCTAAATCACTTTTCACATGGCCACCCACGAAAACATTTCCTTCTCTTTGGATAAGAAAAAAGTTGTGCTTGTAAAACCCTCCAAACCCACACCATCGGAGGTTCTTTCTTTTTCCACCATTGACAATGATCCCAATGTTGAGCTGATCTGCCAAACAATTTATGCGTATCAAGAGAACAATGTCATTGTTTCCTCTATGAATGGTGACACTACCGATAGAGTTAATAGAAACCAAATAATATTTAGTAACCAAAAGGACCCAGCTGCTATAATTGAGGAAGCTCTCACAAAAGTTCTGGTTTACTACTATCCCTTGGCAGGGAAGCTGAAGAGACAAAGCCATGATGGGAAGCTCCAAATCAACTGCAATGCTGATGGGGTGCCTTTCTTAGTGGCAACTGCCGATTGCCAGCTCTCTTCCCTTCGTTATTTAGATGGAATTGATGTCGAAACAGCAAAAAAGTTTGTGTTTAATTATCCATCAGATGATTCTAACATTGGTTATCATCCTCTAGTTTTGCAGGTAACAAAATTTTCTTGTGGGGGATTCACAATTGGGATGGGACTGTCTCATGCAATGTGTGATGGGTTTGGTGCTGCTCAGTTTTTTAGAGCCTTAGCCGAGCTTGCAAGTGGAAAAAGTGAGCCAACGGTGAAGCCTGTATGGGAAAGGGAGAGATTGGCAGCTAAACCTACAGAAGGACCTTTCCAGTTTCCTCTAGACCTGGCTTCGATTGCAACTTCACCATATGTGCCTTCTGCTGACATGGCGCATGAATGCTTTAATGTCAACTCTGACAGCATAACAAGACTCAAAATGAGCTTGATGAAAGAAGCTGATCATCATGATCAGAATCTTGACCATCAAACAATAAAAGAAAGTTTCACCACACTCGAGGTCGTTGGTGCCTATGTTTGGAGGTCAAGACTCAGAGCCCTAAACCTGAATCCAGATGGGAAAACTATCTTCAGCGTAGTCGTAGGGCTCAGGCGCATTTTCAACCCACCTTTACCTGATGGATACTATGGTAATGCCTTTGTTTCAGCAAACGTCGTCTTAACAGTAAAAGACCTTAATGAGTCTCCACTCTCCAAAACTGTGCAGCTTATCAAAGAAAGCAAGAAGCTCTCTTCTACAAATGAGTATGTAAAGAAGGCACTTAGCGATTTAGAAAGAATGAGGGAGCTTAACGTGAAGATTGGAGGAGGGACTGGTTCAATGATGATGTTAACAGATTGGAGGCAACTGGGTGTCATAGAAGAAGTTGATTTTGGATGGAAAGGATCAGTGAACATAATACCGGTGCCATGGAATATGTTTGGGTATATAGATTTGTGTATGTTCTTGCCGCCTTGCAAACTGGATCCTTCAATGAAAGGTGGGGTTAGGGTGCTTGTTTGTCTGCCAAGAGCTGCCATGGCTAAGTTCAAGGAAGAGATGGATGCCCTCAAAGTTGGACAAGCTGGTGCTGCAGGGGCTTAATTAATTTAAGTGTTATTGGTTTGAGAATTGTATAAATTATCAACTGGGTGCAACAGAGATATATATCCGCATATATATTTATGTTTGTGTTTGTTATTGTGAGTGAGCTATAATGTAGAAGTCCTTTCTTCTTAACTGTAATTTAATTTGATTTTGAATAGCAGTCATGCTTGATATGTGGAAAAAAATTTCAACAGATAGGATAGCTCCGTCGATTTGTAACTTGTGGTTGTCCATGTACATCTTCATATACATAAAGCACTAACACAAATCTTAAAATTTTAAATATATAAATTATAATTAAATCTAATTTATGAATAATAATTAGGTTTAATACATGATTCATATAGGAAAACTAATTATTATATTTATTATTTATATTTTACTGAAGTGCTTAATATGATGAAAAGTTTAAACATATTGAAATTAACAAATTATTATTTTTCAACACTTCCCCTCTTAATTTATAAATTTCTTTTTCATTCAAAAATTAGCATGTATTTTTTGAAAAATTTCAAGCTTGAGTAGCTTAGTAAATATATTTATAACTTTACCTTAAGTTTTCACATATTTGAGCTTTTAACTTTTTTTTAACAATGCAATCCCTAATGAAATGGTACCTTATATATATATATATATGCTTTTTTCGTTCATAAAATATTAAATTCTTAGTTAATGCTTGTGCAAACTTATTATAAAGAAAAATTTCAATAACTGTTTATTGAGTCAAATGAAGTTGGTTTAATAATTTTTTAAAATATATAGCATGCAAGCACAAAAAGTTACTGTCACATATTCATATTCACATGTTGATAATGTACCAATTTTTTATTTCTTTAAAATTTCGTGTTATTTTACAGTCACTTATAAAAAATTATAAAATTAATTGTATTTTTTCATAATCAATATTTTCAATAAAATTACTATTGCAAAATTTCATAAATTTAAAATTATTAAATAAAAAATAAAATAATTTAAAATCAACAATATAACATAAAATTCTTCTCTCTTTAACACGATGATGATAGTATTAAATAATTAAATAATTATTAATTGACATTATTATTTTGGGTGATTAAGCAATCAAATCAATCACAAGTACAAGTGTCCGTATAAGCTTGATAACATTTGTCGATGGAATCATTATATTTCAGAAATCAAATTTATCTTCAAGCCACTTACTTACGTTTCCATGAAAGTATTGGTAAGATAGCAATGTCAATTTTTTTATTTTATCTTTTATAAATTAATTAAAAATTACTAATCACTATTTTAAATGCACGCTTAATATATACTTTTTTTATATATAAATTTTCTCATCACAATAATGATTCTAAGCCTACCTATTATAAGAAAAAAAAAAAAAAAAGAGTTGAACTAATCTCCTGTATGCATATTTTTATTACTAGGTGATATTATTAAAAATAAATAAAAATTTAAGGTGTCGGTGTAAAAATATCTTATATATATATCATATATTGTGTATAAAATATCTAAATTTATCATAATTATTTAAAAAATAAATTTAATAACTAAATAATCACTCAAAATTTTATTAAATAAAAAAATCACAAATTTATAAAATTTTACCAAAGACCCAACCACTAACAAATCTCAATCTCAATATTTTTTTACCCCACACTCCAATTTATCTCTCTTTCACAAATATATATATATATATAGCAATTATGAAGTCAGTCATTGGCGACTTCATGGTTGCCGACTTACATATATTATTTATTTTTTTAATTAATTAAATCAACTTAATTTGTAACAATATATATTTTTAAGCTTACATTATGATTATATATATATATATATTATTTTTCTATTCTGCATTAAAGTCAAAGATTATGAGCCACGTGTATATTCTTTGTGCTTTCTTGAAGCAGAAAATATAGTTTGCTTTTCCTATTTTTTTTCCCCCTTTTCTCCATATATTTTATTTTTTTGTTTTCAACACTTGTCTTCGCTACATGGTTTTCAAATTTTTATTTTCAATTATTAAATAATTTCTTATGTAACGTTGAAGTATGATATAATAGATCTAATCTGCTAAATCAAAGTATTAAGGAAAAACAAAACATTCAAAATGAACACACATATAATTCACCCATTACCTAAAATTAAGGTAATTTTATATTCTTATATAGTATATAATATATTTGAAGTTTAATTTTATATTCTCTAATTTCTATTCTTATATACATGCATGTATTAATTAATTTTAAAAACATGCACTAATTTCAACTATTGCCCCCTCTATGCGGATGCCCCCCCGGCGCCATATGCGCAATCTCCAACACACCCATGAGAAACTTACAATATGGCAGAAACATAATTTCTTTGATAAACCAAAGGGCAAAATCGTCAAGCAATTACCCAGTTCCACCAAGTCCAGAAGTCTGGGCTCCGTATCACGGAGCATCTTCTCTCAGCTTTCGTTGGGGCATGTGGTCGAGCTGCGGCCATTACAGAGGCTGAACAAGCTCATTGCCTCATCTTCAAACATGGGTTATATGGAGAGACAACGCTGATGACATCCCTTCTCGACATGTACTGTAAATGCAAACACTTGCGTGAAGCTCGCAAGGTGTTCGATGAAATGCCCGAAAGAGATGTCGTTGCGTTTAACAGCATGATTTCTGGGTTTTTTCGGTGTAATTTAACAACAGAGGCAATAGAATTGTTTTATAGTATGTCTCTGCGCGATGTGGGATCCTGGAATTCTTTGATTTCCGGACTCGGTCAGAACTCAGAGGGGAGGGTTGCATTGGTGTATTTTGAGAAGATGAGATTGGAGGGAGTTGTAATTGATGTTGTGACCTTGGTGAGTGTTCTTTCGGTTTGTGCTGACATTGCTGCATTAATTAGAGGTAAACAAGCTCATGGGTTGGTGATCAAATTTGGATTTCCTTCATATTTAGTTATTGGCAATGCCATTGTTGACATGTACGCCAAATGCGGATTCATGGTGGATGCGCATCAATGTTTCAGGAACATGCCGATCAGGAATGTAATTTCATGGACTTCTCTAATTGTGGGTTATGGAAAACATGGGCTGGGTATTAAAGCTCTCGAGGCATTTGATGAGATGGAAATGGAGGGTATTGTACCAAACAAGATCACTTTCTTGGGTACTTTATATGCATGTAGCCATGCAGGATTGGTGCAAGAAGGATGGAGGAATTTCAACATTATGGTACATAAAATACTCTATGACACCCCTGATGGAGCACTACACATGCATGGTGGATCTACTTGGACGAGCTGGGTGCCTAACTGAGGCTTATGATTTCATAAAGAAGATGCCAGTGAAACCGGATGCAAGGCTTTTGACAGCACTTCTTAGTTCATGTTGCTCACATGGGAATGTGGAGCTTGCAAGGACTGTTGGAAGCCAACTACTTGAGCTAGAACCTGATGAAGCAGGGGCTTACATGCTGCTATCCAACTTTTACGGACTTGTCCGGGACATGGATAGTGTTGCCAATATTAGGAGAGTGATGTTGAACAGAGGAATAAGAAAAGAAAAGGCATATACATGGATTGAGCTTGACACAAAAATTCATCGTTTTGAATCAGGAGATAGATCTCATCCCCTTAGCAAAGAGATTTATGGTTACTTAGAAAATCTTGTTCATAAGATGAAGAAAATTGGGTATGTGCCAAACACAAGCATGGTTATGCAAAATGTGGAAGAAGATGTGAAGGAAGAAATAGTTCTTGCTCACAGTGAGAAATTGGCAATTGCTCTTGGGCTTATATGTACACCCCCAGGAGCTCCTATTTTGATTGTTAAAAACCTTAGAATATGTGTAGACTGTCATTTGGCAACTGGGTTGATCTCAAAGATCGAAAAGCGGGAGATTGTGGCAAGGGATTCAAATAGATTTCATCATTTTAAAGATGGGGTTTGCTCTTGTGGAAATCGCTGGTGAATGGTGAAGACTAAATTGGAGATCATTGCAAGTAAGTAAATCCTTTATTTAAATTATTTCTGAATTTGTTCCAAACATAAGATTAGTGTACGAGTAACATAATTAGTTGGATATTACCTCCACAATAATAAGACAGCACTAGATGATTAGAATATGGAAGTATAATAGTTTTTAGTGGATTCAATGATTCACGATTTCACTGTTTCTTGGATGATATTTTTTTTCCCATATTGAAACTTTCTCTTTTTCTGGATTTAATTTAGAAGAATGTAATGGTAAATCTGAATCACAAATTAACTATAAATAATAATTTCTTCATTGATTAGAGTAACCATATTTAAGATTTGAAAATTTTTGATCTGATAGTTTAAGAATTAGTATTTACATACAATATGGTTAATTGAAAATCAAATGTAAATATTTTTTTATTTAGTTTGTCTATTAATTTATTTATTTGTATTTTTTTTATTTTACTTGGTTTTTTTTTTTCACAATATTCTTCTTGTCTTACAAAACAAAATCTATTTTTTGAAATACTCAAAATTTTGTCTTTTACAACATATGACATCTCAGTTTAAACATCTTTTGTTCTTAATAAACCATGAATATTACTGTGTACCTTAACAAAAAAATTGTCTGCCTGTTTTGTAGTAATATAATATTACTAATATAATATATTTTTTCAATGCTCAAATATATATTTTTTTGGTTTGCTGTTGCATTTATCAATAATCTATCATGAAATGCGGGTAATACCTCGTCCATACTATTAAAGACTTATTGATACTGATGGGTAATCTGGTCATTATATATATATTCATATGCAGGCGTGTATATATGATGAAGAAATCTTTTTCCTTGTACTTGAATCATTCTTTCATGATCTCTTCGAACAAAGCAGGTGGACTCTGGACTTACCTCTCCTGCCGATAAGACATCAAACCGACTTTCTAATTTCCTATTTCTTCACCTTCTTCATCTTTGGATTCTTCATCTTCATCCTCGGGACTCAAAATATCAAATACAAATGGCCGAATTGGCTCCCATGTCTGTTGAAAATTCGTCAATCCCGGTTGATCTGTTCGCCTCCAAGAAGCATCCTGGCCTTCCACGCGGCGATCTTGGATTCTCTGATTCCTCTGGCAACATCGTCTTCCGCATCATCAAATCATCGTCTCACCAGAAATCGCTTCTCGATTCCACCGGCAACCCCGTGATTACTATCTCTCGACATCATGTAAGCTCCCTATCTCTGTAGGAAAATTTTCCCGGAACAAATTTCCTATTTCTCTCATTGATTATGGTAGAGGCAACTTGCTTTATAATTGAATTTGGTATAGTTATTGTACTGCAACTGAGGTAGTAGTTTTGTTGATCAGGATGGATCCTGGCAGGGTTTTAAGGGTAATGGTGGGAATCAAAAGGAGTTGATTTTCAGGGCGAAGAGGACTGTAAAGAAGTGTACCAGTGCTGAGTTAGAGGTTTCTCTGGTTGGTGAAAATGTGGGAGAAGAATCAATCTATGTTCTCAAATTCAAAATTCAAGGTTCCCCTTTTCAAAAATCTTGCACCATTTATCAAGACAAGTTCATTATTGCACAGGTACAACTATCTTCTATTCCAAGCATTATTTGATGATGATGGGAGTTTGTGTTATACGAGCGTAGTATAAACTGAACTGGGTTAAATTCATTAAACTCATTGAACTGGGTTAAATTCAGTAAACTCACCTATAGCGATCTAGTCTTTGATAGATCATCTGAGTTACCTTAGATGTTTGCTTATAAGTTCTAGCAAAAGAAGAAGATATTTCCTAGGTACTGGTTCTATATTTGTAACTCAGGCCTTGTTTAGAGTAAATTAAAATTTTTTATTAGATTTACTTGGAAATTCATTGAATTAGAATTTTCCTCTCTTTACATCTAATGTAATATCTTTAATTCCTTTATTATTTTTTTTTTCTAGTTGTTTCTATCAGTAATATATTTTTACTTGAATTATCTTTTTTTTTTTCTATCATATAAAGTTTTGATTTTTATGATACAGACAAGTCTGATGTACAAACTGAGGCAGATATGTGCAAGCAGAAGCCGGTTTCGACTAACCATATTCCCTGGTCCTATTGATCATGCTTTAATTGTAGCTATGGTTGTGGTATTCTTGAATGTATGATAGTGCTAAAGTGACTTGTTTACTTCTTCATCTCGTATGGAATATATTCTTTATTTTCACCTTCCTTTTTCTTTCATATTTTTATTTATTTCTTTTCAATTTTTTTACTTTTATTATTTTTATGTACAAATTTAACATGAACATGCGGTGGATAAAAGTCGGCATATTAATATCATGGAGAGTGAAATTATAAATTTTTACTGGTTAATTAAATTTTATTCTCAGTTGTTGATACTAAAGAAGATCAATTGACTAAAATATAAAATTATTGCGTAATAAAAAAATTTCGACAAAGTGAATAATATGGAGTAAAAAATAAATTTACCCTGGCAATGTGGAAAAGGTGAGAGCCTCAAACTATCTTGTCTGTGAGTTTTAACATGATTAAATTATGCAACTTTTGGTAAATATTTTTCAAATAAATAAAATTTAGATGAAGTACAATTTGATAGTATATAATTTTAACTATTTTAGATTTAATGTATATAATTTTTTAAAATAATTTTGTTTATGATATAACTCTTAATTAATTTAAACACATGAACAATTTAAATTGTAAAAATTTTAATACATAGTTAGATTAGTTTTTAAACCTCAAAATAATTACTTTTATTGTACAAACTTTCTCAAACGGTCTGAATTTCTTTTTAGTTTTGTATTTTGTTATTTAGTTTTTCGATTTTAATTTTTTAATAAAAAATATTATTTGAGCCATTTATGTAAATTTTTAAACTCCAACTTGTGAAGTTGGATAAAGATCATTTCGCCCAAAATTAAGGTGTCTGAAAATAACACTATTAAATTAAATATATATATATATATATAAATCAAGGGATAATTGCGTCGAAATTGTAACTTCCCACAGCTTACGATTTAATCCCAGGTCCGTCATTCGCAACGTCGTCGTACCGGCAGGTTATCGCTCATGGAAATTGACATATTTACCCCTAATTATTTCATGGCGCGGCGAGTTGATATTGGTTTCCTATTTCTCAAACCTGCTGTCGCCCGCAGTGGATTGCAAAAATCCCAGTCGTCTTCTGAGGCCCTCGTGCGGTCAACACCGCCTTGGAGCGCAGCGGAGCCCTTTAAACTCAAAGAGTTCAAACCGAGGGAGGTCTCTTTGTAAATTCCCTCATCTGCGAATCTCCGTTCATTTCTCTCCGCCACTGTGAGCTTACAGAAAATAGACATCTACAAACGGTAACGTTTCGCCGAGGGGAGAACGAGGGGATGGGGAGGCAGAAAGGAGAAGGAGCTAGGAGCAAGGCACGTCCATCTAGCAGCAGGTTTTAGTTATTTATTTTTTAAAATTTATTTTACAAGAAGGTCTGAATTTGCTTTCAGATTTTAAATTTATCATGTTATTAATCAGTTCTTTTCGGGTACAGTCTCGCTGCTTCTTTATTGCCGTCTGGTTCCGCTGCAGCCGCCGTAGGATTTGGCGGCTACGTCGGCAGCTCTCGGCTCGATTCTTCAATTTCCAGAGAAGATACCACTTTGTTTCTGGTAATTTTTCTTTGTGGAATGATATTTATTATTAGCTTAATTTTTTTTGGGCTGATATACACAATTTGTTTTTCTGGATTCTGGTGAAAAATTGTGTTACTTGTACATTGAGTAGTAGCTCTTAAGAGCTAAAGCTTTGCTCTTTGGCGATTGATCCATATGGTGAATTTGTTAAATTTAACTTAAATAGTTTCATACAATTTTTGCTTAGAGATATGAAGAGAGCCTTGCATTTTCCTGTTTATATATAATTATTAGGTAGTTTTCAATTTTTTTTTCTCTTTCCCTCGTTTTTTTTTTCCACGTTCAGGATATAGACGGAGAAGTGGTGCAGCACTTGAAAAGGCTAGCAAGGAAAGATCCTACCACGAAGGTAATAGTTTTTCCTGACTATTTTCTGATTATTGATGAGCTCTTTTTCCCCGCAGATTTTCCACCGCACTAATTTTTCTCGCTGCTTTATCCTGACCCCTGCTAATTCTTAGCCGATGTAATTATTTCCCTAAGATAAAAGGAAAGTATCATTAAAAGGCACCAGAAGGTGTCGTCCACAACCAATAATCACAAAAGATCAGAGACCAGAAAGTCTACAAAGCCCAAAGGTTTTCTAACTCCATGTCATCAAGCATAGGATGCTCTGTATAAAAACTATTTAAGTTGTGGAACCAGTATCTCTAATCTTGTAAGCAAGTGCTCTCAAAAACTCTACTTGTTCATTTCTTTATAATAACCAACAAATAGACTTAGAAATGAGAGTGAGGAGTTTTTTCTTAGATTTAAAGACATGAATGCCTAACTAAGCCCAAAATTCGAGCAAAGAAACTCGAAGCAACCTTGAGAATAGTAAATTTCTTGTCCTCTGAGTTGCCCTAAGGAACCTACATTGTAGAGTTTCTAATTGTTTCTCCACCTTAGAAAGGATTAGGAACAACGATAAGAAATAAACTGGAAGATTAGCCATAGTCCTTTTGATGAGGTTGAGTCTAGCCACCTTCGTAAAGAAATCCTTTCTTTCACGAGCCACATCTTTACTGTTACCTAGTGCCATATGTGCAATCTTCAAATTTTGCTCCTAGAGGCAAATCCATATTTTATAGGAAGGAAGAATTCTGGCTTTATACCTAAGAACCACTTGATTGACCTCAACATCAACTCTTTCCCTGTTTCCTCCAAATTTAGTAGACCCAAAATTTCTTCAAAACACGCCAAGAGACGTTAGCAATTAGCTCTTGTCTGGTTGCTAAGAAAGGAGTAATTGGTGCAAAGAAGTTATGTAAATTTGTTAGTCCTTCCCTCCTCTCCAACAATGAAAAGGTTAATTCAATTAGGCTCTCTTCCCTTTGGTAACATTCTGTTCAAAGCCTCCATCATCAGAGCAAAGAAAAAGGATTTATCTCAAAAAAAAAAAAAAATCAGAACAAAGAAAAGGGAAAAAGAGGATGCACTTGTTAGAGGCCTCTTGATGATTGAAAGTATTGTGATGGACCCCAATAATCAAAATAATAAAAGAGCGTGTAGACGTCTACCTCCTAATCTGTTTCCTCCATGTAGTAGGTTTAGATCACTTATAGTACACAACTCGACGAAGGAAGGGGATGGGTTAGGCACGTATGCAAGCTCTTACTGTTCCTTTTGTTTGATGAGAAATGCAAGATGCGAAAGGAACCCATTTTCAACTTGGAAATGCTAGTCTGTTTTGTCCATTTTTTCTATCTCCCTCTATCAAAATGATAAAGTTGAAAAGCAAGCTTGCCTCTTATTCTCGTCTTCAATATTTCTCATCTCTGCCCCACTCATTGTCACCTATGTTAAAGAAAGGTTTGAACCCTGTAGAGAATGAAGAGGGACCTGAATCCAAAGCTCATCCTCCTAAAAGGTAACTCAAGAAGACCATGGGATTAGCTCTTTCAATATCCAACTTGCACATCAATCCTCTCCTTCCAGATTAAATGACTGAATCAACTACCTCACGACAATTAATGCAACATCCAAAATTTGATGATATTGCATGAAGGCATACTGGGCTTCATCTACTACCTTGCTGATCACCCCACCAACTCTAAACAGAAATTTTGTCTAGGAGCTTGTAAATGCTGCTTACCAAACTAATTGGTTAGTAATCTTTATTACTCATGCATTCTCCACCTTGTGAATCAAACCAAAAATGTTGAGTTCAGAGAATCATTATATTTGCTAGCCTCATGAAACTCCTTAAACAAGCTTTGAATTTCACCCCTAAAATTACATTGCAACTTCTTTGTAAAAAGCCCTAGAAAATCTGTTAGGGCCAGGAGCTTTGTCCCTATTACACATCTTCAACACAGCCATTATCTTTCCTTTAGACAAACTACTCTCAAACTAATCTGTATCATATCTATCTAGCTCATCAACATTGATATTGGATATAAAAGTTCTTATGTGATGAAAGTTAGCCATCCTGGAAGAATTTAGTATCGTGATCACTTCCTCTAATCCACAACAACCTCAGATCTCTACGTCAACCCACTTCCTCCATAGGCATTGAGTAGCCAATTCCACTTTAGCTAATTGGTTACTTTTGTACATGGGTTGGCACCCCTTTGGTGGTCATATTAGTATCACATTTTACACTTTTATTTTGAAAAAAAAATTCCATGTCAGCCAATTGGTGTCTTTCTCTTTCCCAACCATCAGCAAATTCTCTCTCTCTCTCTCTCCTTTTCTTTATTGTGTGCTCTCTCTCTCCCTTTATCTAAAACGTTAATCTCCCTACTCAACTCCTTCCTCACTGCACATCCAGTACCATTGAAATTGGAGCTCTCCTTATCTCATCTCCACCAGCCTCTGATCTCCACAAACCCAGCTAGTCCTAGCCTTTTTTCCCCCATAAATGTAAGGGGATTAGACATGAATAGATAGTCAATGTGGATAAGCAAGCATCCTCTCTTTAGTTGGACCATGTATGTTGGTTTCCCACGAGGGGAAGATTGAAGAGCTTTAACTTTTCCACTACCCCTCTAAACTCTCTGTTACTAGACCTTGAGAGACCCCTGCTAGTCCTTTCAGAAAGAAACACCATCATCTTAAAGTAACCATCCACAACCCCAAGATAAGCTACATCAAAAAATTATGTTAAGACATATGAGTTATTGGATTTTGCGTTTGTCATTCAGTAGTTTGATATACTTCAAAAAAAGTAGTTTGATTTCTTCCTCTTTTTCTCTTAAGTAATTACTTTAAATTTCAGTATTCGTCTCCAATGTGAGTCAGATAAGCCTTATGACTTTTTTTTTTTTGTTTGAAATAAAGAAAACAATAATTTTAAGCACTAAACCATTGTGTTGTTGACCAGATAAGCCTTATGACTTGTTTGTTTCTGATTCCTTTTTCTATCGGACTTGTTTCTTCATTGCTTCAATCATTAACATAATATGCTTCTCTTCAATTTCCTTAAGTTATTACCCAATTGGTTTATTACCCAATTGGTATAGTGGCTTAGTTTAGGTCTTTGTTTCTTAGTTAAATCAGTTGGAATTGATCTTTGACTAAACACGGCCTGCATGAAAAGCACAATTCTTTTGCTAAGTGTTTCCATTGGTCATGAGTTGGTATCTTATACTCTGCTACTGCTATCATGTCTGATTCTTTTCCATGTTTGCATTTGATTCTTAATGATAAAATAATTTTTCTTTCAACAGCTTAAAGCTCTTGCATCTCTGTCAGTCCTGCTAAAGCAAAGGTCTGGAAAAGAATTGATAGCAACCATCCCCCAATGGGTATAGCTCTCATCTCTTTTTTCTTTGACTATAGATATTAGTGTTTGAGAGGTTATAGTCTCCACTTGATGAGTACAGCTTGAGATGCCTTTATAAAGGTTAATACATCATATTTTCA